TGGGGGTACTTTTTCTGCGCCTCCGCCTGGCGGAGAATTTTCCTTGAATTGGGACACTGCACCCTTTATCTGGAGAGCAATCCCATACGGCAATATCAGTGTCCCCTTTACTATTTAGGCAGAGAAAACAGCATCTCGGAGGAAGCACAGTTTTACAGCTATCATCCAATAGACACACAAGCTTACTTGGGCCAAGGAAAACAGGTGAATCTTTCATTACAAAATATCGGATGGACTGTAATTATTGGTTTATACGTCTTCAATCTCCAAGAAAGGAAATGGTCATAACTTAAGGTTCACCACCCCCTCCGGGGACCTCGGAAGGCGCAAAAGCAGATGGCCACTTTCGGCCGCCTATGTAAAATTTCTCCTCCACTATCAAAAAAGTAGAATTAACGGTTGTCAAAACGTCCGATCCTTCTTTCTGCCTGTTCAATGGCCACTTTTCGGCCGCCAGTGGAAAAATAGTCAAATCTGCTTTTCTTGAAGCAGAAAAATTTAGTTTCTTTCGTTTGAATGAAAAATGAATGAATGAAAACATCTCTGGAATAGGGTGTGTTCCCCATGCTGCATTTATGTGTCGTATTCCCACTCAACTAAGTCACTGGTGTGTATCTCCATATATAACAGCTTTCTGAGTATCGAAAAGCGGTTCAGGGTCTTCACTTGCGCCAAGTGCTTCTGCTTGTACATAGCTCTGGACTCTTGTATTTCTGTTGCATGAACTTATTCTAAAAGATTTTAGATTACTTAATCATATCCAGAACTGTACATCTAATCCAGACTTAAGCCAGTGAAATTAGAATGAAGAATTCATTGGGCAAAATTACAGCCCAAGGCTTCAAGAATTGGCTCTTTTTCATCAGCTTCCGTGGATTTTTCTTAAGATCTTGGCTTGGAATATTCTCAAGCCGGCGACGCCAAGAGGCAATAAGGCAACCAAGTCAGTACTGTTGGTTCTGAAGCTAGCTATAGTCCCAAGACAACTCTTTACAGTCGTATAGGCTACATGAGGGAAAACCTGCGATACCTCTAAACCCGAGGTACCTATCAAGCAAGAATCTCTGGGAGACAACGAGAGAGAGAGAGAGAGAGAGAGAGAGAGAGAGAGAGAGAGAGAGAGAGAGAGAGAGAGAGAGAGAGAGAG